TGTGAAAGGCAAACCGCTGCAAACCTTACCTCTGCTTTCAAATCTGATCTGATTCGGACTACACATCTTTGAACTGCCATTTGAAACGTGAAGCTGATGACCCCTTTAATCTTCAGCAAGGCCTCTTCGCAAAGGTTTCTCCGAGACTAAAAATTAACGGCACCAGTTATTTGCAAACACCTAATAAATAATTGCGTACGTTAAACACAGATCAGTTAAGAAACAAGACACATGAATTGAAGCAGAATGATGCATATATATATATATATATATATATATATATATATATATAGGAGAAGGAATGGCTCTGAATTTAGCCATAAGAGAATTTAAAAACAACATTCCTGCCTACATTTTGACGACAAACCAGAATGGAATCAACTGTGAATAATGAGGGGAAAGTGCTGAAAAGCAAAGCAAGCTTTTCTCCGTATGATCAGCTAAACAGTCCCCTGTGGTTAAGTTCTGACTGACTGCAATGCTCATTGATGAGCAGTTAGTGTTTAAGTTGCTATTTATCAGACACCTTGTATCCATACTGACTGAATGCATCAAAGCAGCTGTTGTATCCTTCAGCTACCTCATCTGTGGCAGCTCATGGACATCACTGCACTGCACAAACTGAACTCTGATTGCAAAGGAAAATGTCCACTCACAAAACACACAAGTGAACGCTTACGTTTAAAGCAAGTGACAGGGCCTACTGTGCAACAACACGACACTGACCTGTGCTAGTTGCACCTGCTCTACGTTAGCTCAGCGTGCTTCCGTGCATTTACTGAGTGTCTCAAAGACATCAGCATACAAATAAGTGGCCTCCTAGAACTACCACAAGTGCAGTGTGAAACACAGCCTGGCCTACATAATCATGTATACGAGCTGCTTGCTTGGTGTCTTAGGACACGAACGCGTTCTTCTCAACCAGCACTGCATTCTTAGCTCCCTCCTCAAGCCTAGCTCCCAGGGTTTATGGCTAAGGCAGCAGGTTGGCTCAGATGTTACAGGAAGCCATGGTGTTTTGCCATATTAACAAGCCTACACAAGCCTCAGGCTCACACACTTCCCTCCTCCTCTTATTTGGCATAGCCACCAGTTTCCCATTGCATCCAAATTTGGGAATGCAGGCTCCTTAAGAGCAAGAAAGGATCAAACCATGGTTTCAGAGCCTAGTCTGTTTATAAAACTAAGTTTAGCCAAAGTACAAATCCAAGTCCATACCTTATGGGGAACTCCCAGTCTCCTCGCAAACAACACAAGACGTGGGGAGCACACAAACATGAGACTCATTCATAAGTAGTATCAAACTATGGTCTGACATTACATGAGCAACTTTCAGGTTTATGTATTCTCACTATAAATCATCATTTCTGCCATATACATTCTGGTGCTTGGCAAACAGTCTGATGTTACATTCATATGGAAAAAGCTGTGGTTTGTAAAAACCAATAATTGTCTACAAAACCAGAACTGGAAACCACAGTGGAACATAGGAAGATGCCTCAAACAGAGTCATACCATTGGCACATCTGCTAGCTCAGTATTATCTACAATGAATGTCAGTGGCTCTGAAGGGTTACAGGCAGGACACATTCCCAGCCCTACCTGGATATGTCAGAGGCTGCAGTTGAGCTCTTCTACATGGGAAACAGGTGTTCTACCACTGAACCAGAGAATACACCCATTGAAACAATATGTAAAACTTCAGCATGTACATCAGGCCAAAACGGGTGAAATAAGATTAGTCAAATGTGCTCCAATTTTCAAGTTGTGTTTTTTGCTTCAAAGCAGCCCCATGCAGAGAGCATCATTACAGTGACCTAGCCCCCGGGGTGTAACTAGGGCATAGATAACCAACACCAAGTTCATCCTCTATAGGGAGGCCCAAAGCTTTTAGTAAATATTCAGAAAAGCTGGCAGAAAAATGAACTAAAATCCAACAAGTTCATGTTTGGCAAGATTAAGTCATACTGCTGAATTTTATCAGGGTTTCTGCCTCAAGAGTAACATGCAGATACACCTGACTATGCATTGGAAGTCTGTATTTGTGAGAAAGAACAGTCCTCCACACACACACCAGTATTGTTTAGGGGTTGTTGTGACTGTTATTGATATTATATTAATTTTTACATTTTATAATGATTTATGTGGAAATGGTTCGATTATGGCTGTGCACTTTTTGATGTGTTTAATTTATTGTTTGATTGTTTTTGTTATGCTTGTAATACGCAAATCTTTTCACGTTGTGAGCTGCCTTGACCATGGTTTTAACTATGGAAAGGCAGCATACAAAACAAATGATGGTGGCGATTATGAGATGACAGGGCAAGCAGGAGTGTTGACAAAATGTTCATGATGCCCACTAAAGTATATTGCTGGGATATACATAGAGCTTTAGACAGTAATTACGTAAGATTTCACAAGAGAGGCCAATTAGTATCATTTCTGTGAAAAACAAAGTACAGCTGTTCAATTATTATTGTCCTTTAGGGTTTGCATTTGCTTGCTTGTTTGTTCTTCTGGGTTTTTTTAACTGCCTAAAATCTTAAGAAAAAGAGGCAAAAAGAACATGATTGTCCCAGTAGTTGTTGCTGCTGCTGCTGTTGTTGTTATTATTATTATTATTATTTCTACACTTGAAGATAGCTTACAATTCACGGATGAATGTAGGTGCCCGTTAGAAGCACCTCCCTGAAACTCAGAATTGCTGCAAGTGCTGACTATAGTTTAAGGAGGTCAAAATGATTTACAAACAGTGTTTTTCATTGCCCTCTGTAGACTGAAATGGCATGCTGTGCACAAACTAAAAAAGCAAGTAAAAATCTCCCTAAGAGCAGAGAAGGTTTTGAGGACAATTTTAAAAACCAAATAAACTTTAATACACATTTGCCCCTTTTTGCTGTTGAAGGAATATGCTGCCAGGCCATCAGCAATTACGGAAGCCCTCCAAATTAAGTATGTCTACATTTCTTACTGCATGCTGGCTACTAGAAACAAGCAGCTTTACCTCAACAGAGAGGAGTGAAACTGCAAGGATCTGCATTAGCATTGTTTTAGGAGAGCAATACAGGCAGCTTTGAGATATGCTGACCACAGACCATTTACGGTGGTAACGCGTATTTAAATTGGCAGGCAAAATAGAAACAGGCAGCATTTTTCTGGCTTTTAGAGAAGCTTTAGAGACAGTGATGGGCAAACAAATGAGCTACCAAGTCAGTAAACATAATAAGGACAAGACTACTGGAACTGATTAAACCTGGCTTAAAGAAGCGGGTCGGGCAGAGGAGGGGAGAGAGAAATATAAGGAGAGAGCAAAATGGCGGTGGCAAGAAGAGGAGGAAGGTAACTCTGGGAAAGGAGGGGTATGCACATGCTCATTATTCATCCGATTAACAGCCACTGACTTTATTAAAGAAGATGGGATATATATACAGACCTGGTTCTCTTAAAAGGCTTACTTAGGCCCCCCCACCCCCAAACAAATGTAAGCCAGTGCAGCAGAAGATCAGGTTTGATAATTTAAAAGGCTACAAAACTGAAACAGAGACCTGAGGGCACTTGTGGATAACATGCTCAAACAGCCTTGCATGCTGCTTGGCAGACATAAAAAGGCAAACATGACCCTGGGGTGTTATCTACAGGGGAATGGAGGATAAATTTATAGAAGTTATTCTGACATTGCATGGAGAATCCACTGAGACCTCATTATTACAACAGTTATCCAATAGCCAAGAGAAATCTCAGGCAATGAGAAAAGATGTTAGGAAGAGCAGGCTAAGAAAATTCAACATTTCCTTAGGCCTGAACAATGGGAAGTTGATAAATTGTTATGAATGTCTCATGATGTGAAGAAGAAATAACACCGGGGGGAAATTACCATTCATCTGATGGCTAGGTTGATCAACCTTTTCCGGTATAAAGTATCACTAGAGGGACCAATGATCTGACTCAGAAGATGGCAGCTTGTGATGTTCTGATGTCCAAACTTAATGCGATCAATTATTTAATGTGATCTTTCCCTGTCAGCTTCTTGGGGGTATTTAACGTTTTGCATCAGTAAATTCTGATGCATAGTAAATTCTACTAAGATCAACTCCTACAAGTCACCAACATCTAAGAGATTGGTACAGACTTCATAAATGTTATTATGTTTATGGCATTTAGTACAGAGCAGTCTAAGCTGTAAACTCAAGGAATGCTTACAGAAAACAAGGTGCCCTTCACACACCTTGATACATAAGTGTGCATTGTATGTCCCAAAACACCCTTTTCTTACCGAATCATCAAGGCCATCTATGTGTAACACGACTGTTTTAGCACGTTTATTTGTACTTCCCAGAAAAAACTGAGCTTTCCGGCGCCGTGAATTCATCTCGTTCACATTGTCAACGTCGGACATTGTGGAAGACTGAAGAATATCATAGATTTCAGAAGCCAACAATTTTGTCTCTCCTGGTGTGGTGGTCCTAAGGCAAAGCAAACTGAGGTTTGTATGGATTTTGCTTTACAATCCTTCGTATTTTAGTTTCGTTAAATATATTTCTTAACAGCTTAATACAGTCTCTAAGCAATTTACAAATAACATGATATATATAACTCAGAAATTAGGGTACAATGCAATACAATGCAATAAAATAATAAAATCTGAAAGAACAAAAACATGGCACCATATCTGAAACACCTTTAGAGTCAGGGATCCCTTCCTCTTACCAAGGCACATCCTGACTCACCAAATACTACACATCACACTCAAGTGTTGCCTTAAGGGTAAAGGACCCCTGACAGTTAAGTCCAGCCGCAGACGACTCTTGGGGTTGCAGTGCTCATCTCACTTTACAGGCCAAGGGAGCCGGCGTTTGTCTGCAGACAGTTTTTCTGGGTCATGTTTTTTCAGAACATGACTAAATGTTCTGGTGCAACGGAACACCGAAACCAGAGCAGCGCACGGAAACACCGTTTACCTTTCCACCAGAGCAGTACCTATTTATCTACTTGCATTTTTGGGGGGTGCTTTCAAACTGCTAGGTTGACAGGAGCTGTGTTGCCTTACATCTACACAAATCAATGATACCTACTAATGGCCGAGATGACAGGCAGAATCCGTGACCAAGGAAAAGAGACGGTGGAAGAAGAATGGAGAAAATTCAAAAGTTATCTTAAGGACTATTATAAACTTGATGAATGTTAGAGTGTTATGGTTTTCAGAAACAAAGGGATACAGTGATATAAGGTCAGATCATAGAGATAACTAAGTACAGAGGTTGGAAAGTAACATTGGGAGTTGCTATAAAACTATGGACATCGGGATGCAGAAAGGGGGAGGTATGGGGGAGTCTCAGAAAAGAGGTTTATGAAAAACATTATGAAATTATACGTGTTTGTATGTCTTTTTAAGTGTTTGTCTGTTCTTAAAATTTTGTAAAACCAATAAAAATTAAAAAAACAAAACAAATCAATGATACCTACTACTTACAGTGGTTACGTACTTAATTCGTTCCAGAGGTCCGTTCTTAACCTGAAACTGTTCTTAACCTGAAGCGCCACTTTAGCTAATGGGGCCTCCTGCGGCTGCCGGCCGCTGGAGCACGATTTCTGTTCTCATCCTGAAGCAAAGTTCTTAACCCAAGGTACTATTTCTGGGTTAGCGAAGTCTGTAACCTGAAGCATATGCAGGTTTCTTGCCCATACTATGCAGAGACCCCTAGCTCAGTGTTTCCCAAACGTTTTTGGGCAACGGCACACCTGTTTACTGAAAAAAAATCTCGCGGCACACCACCATTAAAGCCCCGCCCCGTGACGTCAGCGCGCAGCGTCACGCCGGGAGGGACGCACAAAAGTGAAAGTTTTTTCCCTCCCCCTTGCTGGGGAACCTCCAAGCTTTGGGGGTGGGAGGAGGCAGCAGAGCGAGGGACTGAGGGACGGCGGCAACTGAGGCGGCGGCGGCTGAGGCAGAGCTGGGAAGGGGGTTTCCAGGGGACACGGCAGCTCCTCGAAAGGCTTCTCTCAGCTGCGCTCAATCCGCCTCGGAGAGGATTTCCCCTCCGGTCCCATGCGTTCGTTTGGGGCATCGCTCCGGCTGCTCCCTCTCCCGCCGCGCAGGAGCGATGCCTCTCTCTGGCTCTCCCTCCGCGCAGGCTGAGGGAGGGAGGGAGGGGCGCGTGTGACCCGTCTCTGCTGGGAGACCAAACCCAGCGAGGCAGAGTCGCGCGGAGGCGCCCAGGCAGCGCTGCCGGCTGCGAGGAGGAGCGCCAGGCAGCAGCAGGAGGCGCGGCCTCTCCTCGCTGCCGCCGCCCCGCCTCTTGCCGCCCGACTCGCCCGCCTCCCTCCAGGCATCTCGCGGCACACGAGGCAACGTCTCGCGGCACACCGGTTGGGAAACACTGCCCTAGCTGACTAGGAGTTCTATTGAACTGGGCTTCTTCACCTCAGCACTGCTCCCTGCAAAGTTTTCTCTGGAACTCTCCTCTCTCCAATATTCCTCTTGCTCTCCCTCTTCTGCCCATAACATCCATCCAGCATTCTCGTTCTCCTGTCTCAAACCATGGATCTCCTTATTGTCTTCTCCCCACAGATACTCTGCATTTCACAATAAGAGTGAACAGCAACCACTTACTTTTGACAGAATGCCGTCCAACAGCACCATTAGACCAACAGAAAACCAACTGAACTTATCTGCATTGCCCCAACTAGGGGTTTTTTTCTTGCTCAGAGAAGTGGGGTGGTTCTTTATTTGATCAGAAAGCAATGGGTTTTGCATTTTAATGTACTTAAAATATGACGGGGGGGGGGAAGTATTTCGTGACACAAGCAACTTTTCTGCATCAGCTGACAACAGAGGGACCAAGGGACCAAGCAACATTGCTCTCCTTTGGGTAACTGCAAAAACACCCTTTGAGTCAAAGGAGTAAAAGGAAAAGAAGCAAGTCCACTGCCATTCTGGCTATTTCCCTTCCGTAGGGACTGACCTCAGCCTGGAATACTGTCAGTCTGGCATCTTTCACATACACTAACGTCAAATTAAAATATGCTGCTCCTTTTAAAAACAGCAGCTTGAGCAATCTTTGTTTTTTATTCCAGCAAGCTGTCAAGAAAGGACGGCATATCAGACAAGAGCCTGTTTCAGCATTTTCCCTTCATAGCTTTTCGATTTGCACGGAAGACTACAGCATTTCTAACATCCCAGAATTCAGACGATGCCCAGCTATCAAGTTTAATGGATGCTTTAAAATACTGCTTGTTCCATCATCACCACCTATTTCCAATTCTATGCAATGAAGCCCAAAATTATTATTTGAATGTACTTGGGGGAGGGGGGAATAATGGTTTCCACTAAAAAAAAAAAAAGGAATGGAGTGACATGACTGCTTAAGGCAAAGAGTGAATTTCAGCACATACCCTCCCCTCTGGAAAGTGGAGAAATGGCACCCAACTTTGCAGGTTGTGAATGGGACAATGATTTTCGGGGAGTGTTTTGGTACAGCTATAGATGAGCCCCTAACCAGTTTTGAAGATTTAATGTTTAGCATGATTGCAGAACATAATATTTGTATAAGATCACAAAACAAAAGTTGGTGTTTAAGTTGTTTTGCAACATGCTTACTGAACTCCGAATTCCTGAAATATTTTCAATTCTGAAAATTTGTAGTATGTATGTATTTCCTTCCGACCAACAATTATAATTCTGACAAAACATACAACAAAACAAGGTGCATCTTCTGATCAAGTAGAATTATTTTGGACTGTTCTAATTTGACACACTAGATGGCGTTATTACCTTTTATTACGATGTCTTGCAATTCATCCAACACTGCATTCCCAAACTCTGCACAATACTCTTAGTGTGCATGAATAATTTATCTTTCGGCTAAGTGTATAAAATGTTATACCATATAATCCTGTTTGTAGTGTCAGAGAGGGCATCTTTTTCTTCAAATATCCTTTTATGGGGAAGGTGTCATAACAAAGGGTCCAATTTTAGAAGGCTACTTGTGACCTTCTAACCACGATTAATTATTCTTGAGAAGTACAAGCAAGTAAAATTGTGTTAAATCAAAACTGAGGCAGTCTTTGGTTTACAGGATTGTGTGCATCTCATCATACCTGAAAGGGACTCCTGTGCAATTAAATACATAGTTACTGAGCTAATCATTTTAGGCAAATAATAAATGGGGGGGTGAATAGATGGGTTTAGTTCAAGTAGTTCAGTATGAGACTCTGGAAAAAGCATACTACCGTACTTTTCGCACCATAACACTCTGTTTTTCCCCCCTAAAAGGTAAAGGGAAATGTGTGTGCGCGTTATGGAGCGAATGCAGGCAGGAGGAGCCGCTCTTGCTGGCTGTTCGGCAGCCTCTCTTCCTTCGCTTGGCTCGCTGAGAAGCCGGCAACAGCTGAGCAACAGCTGAGTGTCGGGAGACAGCCTCTCTTCCTCCTGTCTGCCTGCTCTATGGCTTTTTGGCAAGGTGGGAGAAGGGAGGCAGCTAGGAAGCCGGCAAGAGCAGCACACAGCATGTAAAAGCCAAGGTGGGGAAAGGGAGACAGCCTCTGTTTCTCAGTGTCTGCCTGCTCTATGGCTCTCCCTTACACAAATGTAAGCGGCTCTTACTCTGCTTTCTTTACAATGAGCCGGAAGGAGCACCTCCCCCAGCACCTCACCGGTAAATTCAAACAAAGTGACTTACAAGGCTCGTGTCCCTGAGTCTCCTCCTCCTCTTTTTGCTTCGGTTCGAGGCAAGGCAGCTGCACAAATGTGAGTTCCCCCTCTCTCTTCCTTCCCTCCCTCCCTCCCTCTTCCAACTTCAAAAAATATTGGGGGGGGACAGCCAGGTAAGCCCCACTCACATACCACAATGGGGCTGGGGGATGACTCCCTCAAATATTTAATGGGGGGGTGAAGGCACCTAGGCCCATAGGAGTTGGCTGCTTTGCCTAGGACAAATGTGAGCTCTCCATCTCTCTTCCCTCCCTCCCTCCCTCTTCCAACTTCAATAAAATATTGGGGAGGGGCAGGTACAGGTAAGCCCCATCTCACAGACTGCAATGATCTCAAGACAAAGTGCATGCACACTGGTACCTTATATGAATGGCAATGCCCATCAGCATGGGGGGAGGATGACTCCCTCAAATATTTAATGGGGGGTGAAGGCACCTAGGCCTATAGGAGTTGGCTGCTTTGCCTAGGACAAGTGTGAGCTCCCCCCCCCTTCCTTCATCACTGTATTGGAGATACCATACATTACTGACAGTTCCTTCATTCACGTGGTTACAAAGCACGGATCCACATGGATCCTCAGGATTTTTGCACTGGATCACCCCAAAGTCACCATCAGATCACATAGCATGTCCATGGCTACAGTTTGCACCAAAAAAATCACGCACCCACTGTTGCCTGGGGCCACAGTGGTGCAAAAACGTGGTTACAAAGCACGGATCCACATGGATCCTCAGGATTTTTGCATTGGGCTACCCCAAACTCACCGTCAGATCACATGTCTGTGGCCACAGCATGAACCACAAAAATTATACATCCACTGTTTCGTTTAGAATATTTTTTTTCTTGTTTTCCTCCTCTAAAAACTATGTGCATGTTATGGTTGGGAGCGTGTTATAGAGCGAAAAATATGGTATCTTGGAATAGAATGCTTCGAGCCAAGTAATTGGATTTTTGCTTTCATTAACTAGCCACTTAGTATCAAGAACTACTGAACATACCAGTATCCTCACAGTGTTTTCATTGTTACATGCAAAGCCAGGAATTCAAATACAGTGGTACCTCGGGTTAAATACTTAATTCGTTCGGGAGGTCCATACTTAACCTGAAACTGTTCTTAACCTGAAGCACCACTTTAGCTAATGGGGCCTCCTGCTGCTGCCGCGCCGCCAGAGCACGATTTCTGTTCTCATCCTGAAGCAAAGTTCTTAACCTGAAGCACTATTTCTGGCTTAGTGGAGTGTGCAACCTGAAGCATATGTAACCTGAAGCGTATGTAACCCGAGGTACCACTGTATTGGAGATGATGAAAGGGATCTGCTTGAACCTACACAAGGAAGCCACCTTTGCAATCTAACTCCCAGGTCCCTTATGCTTAAAACAATTTAAAGACAGAAACGAAATATATACCGCAATAATCTGACAGTTTGTAAGGGGGTACAGACTCCCTCAGAAGGTGGTGGTAGGAAGGAAATACGTACATACTCCAACCTTCGTTGGAAGATTTTAAAGCAAAGGTTGGATGTCATGGATGCTCTAGCTGAGATTTCTGTACTGCAGGGGGCTAGACCAGATGACTCTTGAGGTCCCTTCCAACTCTACAGTTCTAGGATTCTATGATAAATCATGTACTTTTACTATAGATAGCACACTATACTTACTTTTGCACGACGGTTTGTAAGCTCAGCATCATACCTAGTTCACTTTTCATCTTTTCTCTGTTGGCACGACATTCCGCCAAATAGCGGAGAGCCTGTAAGAAAGGGCAAGTTAAAGTAATCTAATAGAATAATGCTA